GGGGGGGGGGGGGGGGGTTCTGAATCTTACATCAAGAAGAGCTCTTTTCTTTCTCTCAACAAAATCTAATTCAAAGCAAACAAGGTTGAGCTTGATTGAGTGTGCATCTATTGTTGGGTAAAGGTTGGGTTGCCCAGTGTCATTTCCCAGAGATTTCCCGAGAGGCTGTACATAAAGGTGTTGTTGTTGAACTGAAGAAAGATGCTGAGAATGGGCTCTGTGATCCCACCCTGCTGTCAGGTTAGCTTCACCAGCAAGGGCCCCACCGTCCGTCTCCCATGGAGACACTGCTGGATTTCAATGTGCCTTTCATTCCCTTGGCTGCCTGAGCAAATGGCCATCACTGTTTCCATTGTGAGTTCTTCCCCTTTGGGAGATGAGCCAAGTTCAGGGAACATGTGCTTGAGACCAATATTTGGCAGCCGGCCCACTTGGAGTGACTTTCTGCCTCTGCCTTTCCTCCTACAGAGACACTTTCCTGCATCTGGACATTGAAGAGCAGTGCCAAACAGGCTCAATTCTAAAAGCTGATTCCGAACCCTGCTGGCTCATCTGGGCGAGGGGCAAAAAATCCACACCCCGATTTAGAGTCCAGGTTACTAGATTAAGACAAAAGTTATTTCCATCCCTTCCTTGTCACCAGCGTGACTGAGGCCATATGTATCTCACAGCATCAATGGGCACAGTCTTCTGGAGAAAATTTCTCTTTGCATTATCTACCCAATTAAGAATTTTTATGAGAAATCTTAATTTACAGTTAAAAGAATTAAGCATTCTAATTACTGGGACCTCATTTTGTAGAACAGATGAGAGGTTAGATGTCAGAGATTAAATACTTTCCTCACATCCACATAGGAAGTTAGTGGTAGAGTTGGTACTAGACATCATTATTTGAATATTCAGACCCAAGTTTATTCTATTATACCAAGTAATTAATAAGGACTATGGTTTTATTTTTTACATTTTAAAGTTAAAGTATAATTACATACAAAACAGTGCACAGATCTTAAACGTAGAGCTTAGTAAATTTTGACAAATGTTTACACCCATGTAATTAATACTCTAATCAAAGCACAGAATGTTTCCATCATCTAGAGACTTCTCTTTCCACTCAAGCCCCTTGTCCCCCCCCTTCACACATATACCAGGCAACAACTCCTGCTCCAACTTCTATCCCCTTTGACTTGTTTTGGGGCCCCAGTTTTAAGAAATAAAAGTTGAACTCAAGTGACTTTGCCTGCAGCCTTGAAGTGTCTATTTGCAGAATTTTCCTCCCACTTTTGGACCACAGGAACTACTTAAGATTTGCTTTGGATCCATTTGGACAGCCTTACATGAAGTCAGTCTTAGTCGGCCCCAGTATAGACACATTTAGGTTTAAAGGAATTCACATTTGTAGAATGTAATGTACTAATTCTCCATATGGGGAAGAGAAAGAACTCTGTCAGGGAAAATAAAAGTGCTTTCTCCAAAATATCTGCCCCCTTTGCTCTTTCTGTATCCAACCATTTTTTCAGGATAGCTGCCTTTGTTTCCATGGAAAGAGTTGCTTGAGGGGCCGGCCCGTGGCTCACTTGGGAGAGTGCGGTGCTGATAACACCAAGGCCCCGGGTTCGGATCCCACATAGGGATGGCCGGTTCGCTCACTGGCTGAGCGTGGTGCTGACAACACCAAGTCAAGGGTTAAGATCCCCTTACCGGTCATCTTTAAAAAAAAAAAAAGAAACTGCACTTGCTATAGGAAATAATAGTTTAAAAAGGGTTTGGTTAATGTCCTCTCAAGACAGCCCTCGTAATCACCAGTAAATGAATATGTGAATGAATGGATGAATGAAGATAGCAGAGTTAGAGGTCTGTCTCAGCAGATACCACCACTGGGATGCAACCTCAGAGCAATACCAGAGGGGAAGGAATCTCAACATGGG